CCCTCCAGTCGCGCTGGTTGCTGGCCAGCAGGGGGCAGAGCTGCAGACAGCGCTCACAGTCTGCTTTAGCAGGAACTCGCAGCTCCAGGATGTTCTGCTTCAGGTGCGTTTCCACCGACACGCGCTCCGCTTCCGACCACGGACGCTTCAGCACGCCACGCTTACCTGAAACACACACACAGGGTCACCCCTAGTATGAGGAACTGTGAGTAGGGGTTGCAGACTGGTGGACTTGACGCTTTATGATTGTCGTCGTGTTGCGCTGATCGCATGTTTTTGACCTGAACTACATGCTGCTTTACACAGAAATGTAGGTTCACAGAATGAAGCTGCCCTCAGACTAGTGAAATCAATTTAAATGTTACTTTTCTCGTGTACAGTGAGTCACGTGAACATTGAGGGAACTACACATGATCAAACAGATGCCAGTTAGATCCATGCAAATACCCTTAAACAGACGCCAGCTGATTGTGTTTACACAACACAGAGATTCATCAGCTGACCTTTCTCTTGGCTGCTGCATGGGGGCGCCATGGCGACCAGCGTCTTCAGGTAGAACGTTTAGAGCAGGGATGTCCAAACTCGGTCCTGGAGGGTCGGTGTCCTGGAGAGTTTAGCTCCAACCCTAATCAAACACACCTGAACCAGCTAATCAAGCTCTTAGTAGATATACTAGAAACTTTTCTGGCAGGTGTGTTGAAGCAAGTTGGAGCTAAACTCACCAGGACACTGGCTCTCCAGGACCGACTTTGGACACTCCTGGTTTAGAGCGTTTACAACTGGTAATTTGCACTCCGAGAATTTTAGCAGAGGGTTTTAACAGAGTTTTGAGTGGATTATGGAGTGTTTTTGTGACATAACTTTAAATTATGTATGTTAAAGCCGTAATAATCTGTCGGATGTGGTTCAAGGATTACTGGCATGTAACATAACAGGTCATGCAATTTCCAAAAATGAGCAATAAACGTACGTTTATTATGTGGTGTAGTGTTATATGTACTTCTAATGTAATTGCGTATCGACTCCACTAGAGGGCCACCTTGGTTTAACTACGGGGGTTCTATGAAGTCAGTGGCTGCGTCTGAAACCTCAGTAGGTACTGCATTTGAATTTAAACGTACAACTCGGCCATTAGAAAAGTACGCTTTATACAGTATGAATGTGAAAAGTATGAATGGAATTTGGACGTACTACATCCGCCATTTTGTCCTGGTCGCGTGACCTACCTGCGTCAGTTGCGTCACTTCACTCCCATTCACGAATTCGCTCGCGGGGCATCATGGGATAGCGCAGCATGCATGGGATGCGCACTCCAGAATCTTGTAGGTCATCCGGGTACTTCTCGCATGCTGATTTTAGAATTCTATGAATTCAGACATACTACTCTGCTCGCATACTGATTTTAGTGTACTATATAGTATGGAAGTATGCGGTTTCAGACGCAGCCAGTGAGACTGAAGTGCATGTGATGGTTAGATGGTAATGTGTTTGAGTTATACCTCTCTATGTACGCAGTCTATAATAAACACTGCACAAGAAGGAAACACTACACTCTGCAGGCTGATGTGCATGTTGATTCTAATCATGAGGCGTTTACGTTTCATTTAGTTAGTGTTGTATTGTGCAATATATATATATATATATATATATATATATATATATATATATATATATATATATATATATATATATATATATATATCTCTCTCTCTCTCTCT